CAAGTTGGTAGCAAAACCACAGCTGCACCATCAACAGAAACCGATATAACTGCAAAAGAACCCGGAACGAGTACAATTAGACCAATCGATGGTGAAATAACAACAGAATCTACTGTTTCGGAAATTGATGTCAAAACTACAACCACACCTTCAGTGATATCTATAACAGAAAAACCAATCACAAGTACTGTTGAAACTGAAACTACGGAAACAAGAATTCCCGATGTTCAAATTGAAGGTGAAACTACTACTACTGCTGCAATTTCAACAACAACGGAAGCTATATCAACAGCTGAAACAGAATTACCAGAAAGAAGTACAATAAGCGAACGGCCAATAAAAGATGGTGATGATCTTGAACATACAACTGCAATTCCATCAGAAGTTTCAACAACAACATCAGAAACTGAGAAAATTTCAACTGCAAAAGAACTAGCAACAAGTACCGTTTCTTCGATCGGAGATGAAAGAACAACAACACAAGCAGCAACAGTTGATACTGGTATTGAATCAACAGAAAAACCCGCAACTGTGACATCAACTGACAAAGAACCAGGAACCAGTACTTTATTGCCAATTGAAACCGAAATAACTGCTGAACCTGAAATGACAACAGTTGCTGAAATCGGTATAGACACAACAACAATTTCGCAATCAACAAAAATGCAGACTGGAATCGAAACGACTACACCATCAACTGCTGAATCACAAACTACATCAGCATCGACTGAAATGGAACCAGTAACAAGTACCATATCGCCTGTTGAAATTGAAATGACAACCAAACCAATAATCAGTCCAGAAATGACTACAACCGAAATGCCTGAAAAAGAAATTACCAGCAGTACAATATCTCCAATTGAAATTGAAACAACATCAACCACTTCGGAAATTCCTTCAATACAGACTGGTTTCGAAACCACTACCAAACTACCAGAAACTAATGTATCTACTGAATTGGCAACAAGTACTATTGTACCGATTGAAACCGAATCACCATACACAGAAAAATCCAATGTTACCGAAATTCCCGTTTCGGAAGCTGATCATTCAACAACTACAACTTATTCACCATTGATAGAAGAACATACTACTATTTCACCGGTAAAAGAATCGATTGTTACTGTGTCGGAAATAGATAAAACAACTCCAACTGAAAAGTCGTTGATTTCAACTACAACAACAACAACAGCTGAAACATTTACCGAAGCATCTACCACATCCATGGTCGAAGATGAATTGACTACTGTACCGGAATTGCCTGACGTACAAGTTAGTATTGAAACTACTACTACCATTCGACCATCGACGATTACCAGCACTGAAATTTCGGTTGAAAAAGAATCGACTACGACTATCGCAGCAGATAAATCTACAGTTGCTGAAATTGATAGTGAAACTACGAAACCATCAATCAGTGTATCGACTGACAAAGAACAAATTACAAGCACCAAAATGTATCCAATCGAAACAGATAGAACAACAACAGAAATCTCGATTCCAAAAGAAACTATTGGTGAAACTGAATTGCCTATTGAGATAACGACCACTGCAATTCCATTATCAACATCTACCACCAAAAAAGAACCAGAAACAGAATTACCACCTGTTCAAGGAGAATTTGAAACAACTACTGAAAAAGTTGAACAAACAATAACAAGTACTTTGAAACCAGACGAAAGCAAATCAACTGCCACAACTGAAATTGGTTCATCAACAACAATAACATCGGAAACCACCGAAATTCCTTTGTCAACTGAAGGTATGGTTGATACTACTTTGTTGCCCGATGTTAGTGAAATTGCAACAACAACAACAACACCGGCTACTACACAATTTACCGAAACTAAAACCGGTGAACCGATTATCGATTATATAACTACTACTCGTCGACCAATGGTCAATGAATCTTTTACTAGTCTTGAACCAATTATTGAAGATCATTCTACAATTGCACCATACCCACCATATGATCATACGATTACTGCCTCTACTGATGATCAACAACCTGAATTGTCCACCGTAACTACTGGTTTACCATTTATTGTTGAAGATTATACAACAAAGAAATCTATTTTACATACAGATAGTGTACCACCAACAGTAATGAATAAAACAGAACCAACTGAGAAAGAATTGATACATTCATCGACGACAACAACAACCGTATCTTCCATAGATAATGAAACAACAATTTCATCAATCGATGAAACGGAATTAACAACTAAATTACCCGATGTTTCACTTGGAATCAATGTGACAACACCTGAACCCGAAGAATCAAGTAAATCAACAAAATCATTCGAACCTGAAACAAGTGAACCTGAAGGTATTACTAAAAAACCATCGATTATTACTAGTGAAGAACCTGAAGAAGAAGAAGAAGTTTGGACCGATACACCAACAGAAATTGTAACTGTACCTACTTTTAATGAAAATGTTACCATTTCTGAATCAAAACATGAAATTCCAACAACAACAACAAAACTGCCATTTTATCCAGTTTCACCTGGTCAACATCAACAAGAAGATGAAGAACAAGAACAAATTGTACAGGAAGAAGAACAAGATGAAACATTAGCACCAAGACCTGTTACACCGAAACCAGGAGTAAAAACAAAATTAAAACAACCAACAACACAACAACAACAAGATTCTGTGAAAAAACCATATCGTCCATCATCATCATCATTTACACCGTTTACTGATCTTGGTGATGGATGTAAGTATTTCATTCATTGATTCATTTTTTTTCATTTTTCTTAATTTAATCCTTTCTCATCAATCAATCAAATCAATCAATTCTAGCTTGTGTATATGATGGAAAAATATTTCAATCAGCCGAACAAATACCACGTCCACATCCATGTGATTTTTGTTTCTGTTTTCGTGGTGATATTATTTGTTTACAACAAACATGTCCACCACCAATTAAAAATTGTTTAGAATCACATATTGAAGGATTCTGTTGTCCACGTTATGAATGTCGTATGTATTACTGTAATATTAAATCGAATTGAATTAATTTTTCAATAATTTTAAAATAGCTGTTGATGCAACAACAATGAATATGACCGTATTTCATACTAATAATAAACGTATGGCTCGTTCATATAATTCGGCCATTTTATCATCATCATCAAACAGATCGAAAACAACAACAACAACTTCGACAACAACAACAACACGTCCACTACCATATTCAATATCGATTGTTGAAAAGAAAGGTTGCCGAATTAATGGTCAATTCTATGAAATTGGTCAACGTATTGATCAATCAAGTAATGCTTGTTTAGATTGTCGTTGTGATCAAATGGGTATGATGAAATGTGATCCACAAGTAAGTATTGAAATTTTTTTTGTTTCATTTTTGATTTTCATTATTTTTTTTTCAATGTTTCAAATAGGATTGTTCATCATCGTTAGCACCATTAATATTGCGAATGAATCGAAATTATTTTCTACATAAAAAATAAGAAATAATTGATAACCCTTCGTTGACAAACAGAAACGGAAAGGAAAGGCTTTTCATTTTGTGTGCCAAATCTACAGAACAAACAAAAAAAAAAAAAAAAAAAAAAAAAAATTTTTGTGATAATTCACTTAATTATTATCATGTGCACATTTTTACCTGACAAATTTTTTTTTCTTCTTTTAAAAAAATTCATTTCATCCATACGGTCTATATGTTTTTTCTTTCGGGGTCCAAAATTCAATTGTGTTTTTCCTTTTCCTACTTCTGGTGATGAGATTTCCCTTTTTCCCGCTTTAAATTTCTTTCTTCGGTAAAAAAAAACCTTCAATTGTCTATTTATTTATTTATTCTTTCTTTCTCTACAAATGTCCACATAGATTTTCCCTTTATTTCTATTGCTCAAATGATACAACATCAATTTCCATTTTCTTCTTTTATTTTTTTTTGGTCAAATTTCAATTCAATGGTTTTATTGCAATGAATCTTATTTTTTGGATTTTCTACTTTTTCTTTTTCTTTTTTCAAATATTTTTGTACATGTGATATTTTCAAATGATTGAATCTGGCTCTAAATTTTTCTTTTTACTTTTCGAATAACCTTATGATTATAATTTTATAATTTTTTTTTGAATCTAAAAATAGTTTTATAAAATTTCTTTTTTTGTCCCTTGGAAATTAATTTAAAAAAATTTTAATCAAATTAAAACAATAATGTTTTTCGAAAACAACAAAAAGGTAATCATCATCATCATTGAATTTAAAACAGGTAAACAACTTGAACTTGTTATTAATGAATCATAACGACCTATTCGTTTAAGTTCATGATGTTGTTGTTGTTGATTACCACGACAATCAATCGAACGAAATAGAAAATCACGAATTTTACCTGGGTTAGGATTTTGTACATGCATTTCTACATTATTAAATTTCCAATATGATTGTCCTTTAAAAAAATATGTTACACCTATGGTAATAAATTCAATTCATTAGATTATCTGATTAAATGAATTACGATTATTGTTGCTTACTATCAAATTTCCATGTAAATGCAGCATCCAAATGTGTTGGTATACCTTGCCAAACGCTTATATCACGTGGATAATCCATTTCAACATGTTTTTCCTGTGAATCTAATCGCCAATAAACTGAACCAGTAAAAATATATGCTTTACCATTTACAGCCCAATTAATTATAGTATCAATTCGTTCGATTTTTCTTGATAAACCTAAATCGGTTAATGGTATTGGTCCAGCATGATAACGATTTGAATTGAATAGATAATAATATCTACCAACAAAAAACATAATTAATTGATCACTACGTCGTTCATAAACAGCATCCACTTGATTAATATCGGTTGGAAATCCAATAAAATATTGTGATATTGGTATTGGTTCATTACGAATTAACGAAAGATCATTTTTAACCCACCAAAATGACTATTTTATCGGAAATAATCGGATTACATTATCCAACACACAGAACAAACATAAAAATCAATCATACCTGATTTTTAAAAACAAATATTTCATTTCTAATCGATGCAATAGCATCAATATTTGTATTGCACATTATCATTTCATTTGTATTTTCTATTGTCGATGTCTTTCTGTTTCCACTAATTTCCGCTGGTCGATGACGATCATAACTTTCTGTTGTTGTTGTTGTGGTTGTTTTACGACGATCGTTGGTAACACCAAGATCACCATAAAGATATTGTACACCAGCTTTATCTATTTCAGGTAATGAAAAATTCGAACCATAATCACGATAATATGGAAACATTATTGAACCTTCATCGGCTGTATGTGCAAATCCTAATGAATGACCAAATTCATGTAATGCTGTCCAAAATAAACTTGGACCATCTTTATCTTGCCAATTTTCTTCATCATCAAAATGAACATCACCTTTTGGTGGTGCATATGCATGAGCAAGTTTAGAACCAGGTCCATCAAATTTTCTTCGTTGTCCATCACCATGTTCACCCGTATAGAAACCAATTAAAATATCAGCATTTGGATCTGATGTTTCAATAAATTCTAATCGATCCGATGCACGTGACCAAATATTCCATGCACGACTAAATATGGAACGTGCTTCTCTTGTTGAAACTTTTTTCGATGGATTTATTAAACTAAAATAAACAAAATATTAACCACATGCAAATGTTAATTATCATTATCATTATTTTTTTGGTTCATAAAAAATCAAAAATGTTCAAAATGATGTTTGACAAGACAGATTCTCACTCACTCAAGGAGGTTGTGATGAATTCGATTTGAAATAATAATTTTTTTTTTGAAAAAACAAACAACTACAACCAAGATGAGCGAGTAAGATTTCTGTTTTCAAATGGAGATTTTTTTGTTGATGTTGAAAAAGTTATTTTAAAAAAAGATAAACATACTTCCATGTAATTGGACTTTTATCCCATTTACTACCATAAACAGCAAAACGTTTGGTTATTGATCGACGATATTTTGTTGTTGATGATTTAACATCTGGTACACCACAACGTGGTGATTTCATAATATCCATAGTACGTTGATCCATTCTACCGGTTTGTGGTAAATGGGCATATTTTTGCATTAATTTTATAGCACGTTCAATTTCTCTATGATCCAATAGATTTAATTCATTATCATTCATTTCGGGTAGATAGCCATAATTTTCAAGAAAATGCTAATTTAAAAAACATGAAAATTATTGATTTACAAAAGCAAAAAAGATTATGGGAAATCAAATTTACCATAGCCGATATATTGGATGATTGTTTTCTATTGGATTTGTTGTTGTTGTTGTTTTTGTTGTTATATGAAAAACTATTAGTTCGAGCCATTGATAAATATGATGATTGTCCGATTACAATCATAATCATTGCAAACAAAACTAAACAATTATAATGAATATTAAACATCTTTGTTAATTAATTAATTAATGATGCTGAATAACGACATAAGCAAATTTTTTTTAATGAAAAAAACAACAAAATTTAGTAAAAATCAACAACAATCATCGATTATGGTGGTTAAAAAAAAAATACAGATTTTTTTTCTCATATTATAGATTTGATCAATTGAGTCGGATTTCCTATAAACTAAACAATAATGATTAACGAGATTACGACGACGACGTTGACGATAAAATAATTAATATTGTTATATTTAAAAAACAAACAGGCAATCAAAACAAACAAAACAAAATAAAATATTCTTTTGAAAAGGAAGGAAATCAGACTCATTGTCTTTATCAACAATTAACATTCAAATGTCATTATCATCACACATAATTCCTTGTTTGACCACAGGACAATGACAGAAATTTGTTTGAAAAATTTATACTAACCATTGTTTTATAATAATAAGGCATAATTTTGATTGATTTTGTAATCATTTTTTATTAATTGATTGTTTTTTCTGACAATTGATAATCATCATCATTAGTCATAATGAGAATATTATCATCAACAAACATGACCAAAATTAGTGCAAAAATTTGCCAAATTCCTAAGAATCCAATAGAGAAAGAAAAGCATAATCAATTAGTTTGTAAAAATCATCAACAAAAAAAAAGACCAAACCTAATAACATAAATATGCAATGTGAGCAGCAATTGTAAAAGGAGGAGATCGAAGGCACAAAACATTCGAAAACATCATTATCATCATTATCAGCATCATTTTTAATTAGAAAATTAAAAGATTCATTATCATAAACATCAATTTAGGAACTTTTCAGATCCAAAAATTGAAGATGATGATGATTATCATAATAACCTCCAATCGAATAATAATAATATAGTGATTGTCAAAGTCATCATCATCATCTACGTTAAAAATATATACAGTATCTCTGTATATGATGAAGAGTGAGCCAAACCAAAACAAAAAACAAATCAGGATTCTTGCATTGGGCACTGTGAATATGAATGAATGGTTGGTATCCACACACACTGATTGACTGACTATATATTTGTATCATTAAATTAAAACAAACCACCACCACCCTTCTGGTTGTTTATTCGGGGTTAATTTTTTCTGGAACCATTCCAAAATTTAGTCAAAAGCAAAAGTAGTAGTAGTAGATAACTATGTTCCAGGATTCCATTTTTTTTTCGGTTCCAGAAAACAAAATTCTGATTCTTTTCATATCAAACGCTATAGCCCTACCCTGAAATTATATAGTGATTGGAAATTATCATCACCACTACCAACGATGATTAATGCGTCAGAATCATTGATGGTAAAAAAAAGTACCGTTATTTTTTTTTATTATAAAAACACAATGATTATATAGCAAAAAGCTGTCAACAACACTAGATGACATTACTTGTTTGAAAAAAAAAAATTTGAATTTTAAAAATTCAATTCTTAAGATCATCTCGTACACATTGAAATGCAGCAATCAATGAAGCTAATTGAACTTTTTCAATACCACCACCGGCACAAAGATTTACTTCAATATCGGCCATTTTATCCATTAGATCCAATTTTATTTCATCAGGAAATTCAACTATAATAGTTTGTAAATAAAAGAATTATAGTCAATTTAAAATAGAAAAATTCTTTGGAAAGAATTCTTACTTTTCAAAACTTGTTCATGAAGTCCACGAACAATATCGATAAGTGAATAACCATTTTCCGATTGTAAATTTAATATTTTCATATAAATTTCAGAAAATTTATCTTCAGTTATCCATTGTAAAATTGATTTAATTTCAGGTTTTGTCGGTATACCACAACATTTATAAACATTTTCTTCATCAACAATACTAAATGCAGTGGATGTACTTTGTAAAACATTCAATACACGACGCATATCACCACCAGATAATTCAATCAATGCATTTTTTCCATCATCAGTTATGTTAATTGTTTCTTGTTCAACAATATAATCAAGACGATGTTTAATTTGTTCGGAACCAAGTGGTGCAAAACGAAATTTTGTACATCTTGATTGTATGGCCGGTATTATTTTATTTAGATAATTACAAATGAAACAAAATCGTACATTTGATGTATATTTTTCAATTACTGTTTGTAAATTAATGAAAAAATTTTGAAAAATCCGATTTAATTTGGTTCAAACTTACATCTTCTCAATGCATTTTGTGCATCTTGTGTCATAGCATCGGCTTCATCCAATATAATCAATTTAAATGCTTTTTGATTAAACATTAATCTTGTGGATGCAAATGTTTGTATTGGTCCACGAACAATACCAATACCACGATCATCAGATGCATTTAGCTATTGAATAAAATTCGTCAAACAAAAAGATAAACTTGATATAATTGTTATTTACCTCTAAAACCATTGAAGGATAATCTCGTTCTTTGTATAATTTCCTGGCACAAGCAAGAATTGTTGATGTTTTACCAGTACCAGGTGGTCCATATAATAAAAGATGAGGCATACGATCTTCATTGATAAATTTTTCAACTAATTCAAATCAAATCAAAAATTATCATTTCAAATTGATGGTAATTCATATTGATACATACTTGTAGTGACAATATCTTTATGTGATACTAAATCATCCAATGTTTTTGGTCGATATTTTTCTACCCAATGTATTCCATCCATTTGATTGTCATTTACTTGAACCATTTTTTTTATTTCAATTTTTTGTTGAACAAAACAAAAAAACGAAAAATGTCACAATTTTTGTTTCGAACACTGATTTTCGGCATGACAATGGACCATTCATAAAAGACGAGATTTTTTTTTTGGCGGAATTTTCAAAAAAAAATAATTTTTTTTTTATTCAAATCAAATTAATTTTATCAAAAAATAAGTAATTATAAAAAGAAGAAAAACATTATAAATGATCTTATATAATAAATTAAAAAAAATAATAAATATTTACAAATTAATTAATTTAAATTTTTAAAAAAAGTTATCGAAAATCTATCGATCATCACGCATTGTAGTTATAAAGTCAAAAAAATGTGATTACAAAACAATAATGATGATTGAGAAGAAATGAAAAAAATCAATTTGAAAAGATTCGTTCCAAAGAAGAAGAGTATTTTGAGCAAATTTTCGTCGTTGTTGAATGAGCATTGTTACCACAAACAAAAGTTTCGCATTATTCATTACCATTGTTGGATTTGGTTTCCAACATGCTTACACTTTCATAATGTGCTTGATTATCGTTCAATGTCCAAGACTATAGTAATTAATAAACAAAGTGGGAAAAAAGATTCAAATTAATTTAAATGATTAATTCATTGATTCATTAAAAACATACCATCATTCTTGAATTCATTATATAAATAGCCATAAATATAAAACAAATAATAGCTAATAATGAAATCAATATTGTTGTCAATAATAATATTAATGGTAATATATTGGAAAGAAAATAAAGCTGATAAGTGATTGATTCATCCATTTCGGCATGCGTTGTAAACCAAAATTGTGGTAGATAAAGTTCATAATCATTGGGCCAATTTTCCATTATTTCAATTTCATTCGATTTTTTGACCATAACATTTAACTGAAATTTTACATCAATTTTTAAGGCAATACCAAATTTCTAAATAAAGAAAAAAACAGTGAATTTACTTGTGTTTTTTGAAGGAAAAAATTGTGTTGAATTTTACTTACATCATCAAATTCCATATTGAATAAATGTTTTTGTATATTTGGTTGTAAGCCATCGACATTATTCAATAATAATGGATCACCAAATAAAAAATGTGGACTTGAAGCGAAAACAGGTGAATCTTGTGCACAAACACCCAAATCAAATAAACCATTTGGTGGACATGTTTGTTTACAATAACAATGATTTTCATTCAATGTATAATTAAATGTCATTGGTCCTAATTGATAACGATAACGACGTATATTATCATATTCAATTGTATCCTGATAATCCAAATCAAACGAACGACATATATCGGCAATAAACATACGTATATTTGGTAATGGTTTTAGTAGATTTTTTTGACCAAAATATTTTAAAAGTTGATAATCGTTATTATGCATAAAAAATGGTGGTTGTAAATCACCGGTTGTTGTATTTTTAAATGATCGACATTTTTGACCCGATTTCCATTTGATATTTTCTTTTTCATTATTCCATGTATCGATAAGACCAATTTTCCTTCCGGAATCTAATTTACCCGTATAAACACGAAATAAACCATCTGCAGATGTATTATTTTTTTCAAATAACCAACCAAATCTTGTTGGTGATATTTCACCTGGATAAAAACTTGATGCAGTCGTTAGAAGATCATCTTCATAACCTTCAAATAATAGATGACGAATTTTATGTTTCAATATGAATGACATATTGAATGCATCGATTAATGAATTTAATGATTCATATGCTAAAAATTTATCATCTTCAGGTATTGATCGTATTTGATGTATGCCAGACTATTGAAAAAAAAAGAAGTAAAGGGTTAAAAAAAAAACTATTGATTATTATCGTTTGAAATAGGTGAGGGGAAAAATAGTAATTCATTACCAAAAGTGGAACATTAATATGAACAATTTCATCATCTAATGAACCATTTGATTTTGATGGTACTGGTTGCCATGTTTTTATTTGTCGATATTCAACAGTACCATTTTCAAAATTCCATGATATATTTACTTTTTCAAAATTTAATTCAAAAACATATGGTCCAATTTCTTTCAATATGGGTTTTACACCCGGTTTAAATAAATCATTTGCATTGGTTATATTGAAAAAATAATAATAACTATAAATTGGTATATTGGATTTTTGCCACCCTGTATAACTTGATGATTCTGGATCTAATATAAATTCATCAATAATTTTCGTTTCCAGCACATTCGGTAGATAAAAATGACTAATCAATGCAGCTATTGTTAATGTTAAACCAATACCAAACAAAATGATAATCATATAATGGGATTTTTGTTTGTTTGTTTCCGTCATCATCGTTGCTCCTGTTGTTGTTGTTGTCGCATTTTTCGTCATATTTGAATTGGCCACCATTTTTTTTCGTTTTTGATCGGAAATCGTTCGAAACACTATATATTTTTGTCAAATCAGACAAAATCAAAGAAAAAAATCAAAAATCAGAAATCAAATTACATGATTGTTGCTGTTAAATGATGGTTTGTTTATTACGCCTATTATCATCATCAACATCAACATAATCATCGTTTAATCAGTTGTCAAGCGATGAAAAATTATCGGGGAAAAACATTTGAATTGTTCAGCAAATCAATCAATCAATCGATCAATAATTAATCAAAAAATTGTTGACAATCAAAAAAATAACAAAATCCAACCAACCATCCAAAACAAAAATTAAAAATTTCAATATCTATCTATGGTACCTACATACACAAAAACATATAACTGGTTTTTTTTGTATGTAAACACACACAACGGTGGAAAGAAAAAAACAAATTCAATGTGTTTTGGGTTGAATATGAAAATGATGACTGAGAGAGAACCGTTTGTTTGTTGCTCTCTCTTCTTCCAGATTATCATCATCATAATGATGATGATGATAATCACCCTGAATTCTTTAACAACATTCAACGATTTTATTCAGTTACTTATGGATGTTACTTATTCAAGTCATTAGACTTGATTTCTTTGAAGTTATAAATAAGAATCATCATCATAAGCTGAAATGTGTAAAGCAAGCTGTTTGTTGTATGAATGAAAAAAAAAACAAAACGAATGGATAAAATGAGAGCCAAAAACAGCAACAGCAATAATAAAATGACAATGAACTCAATCAAGGATATTTACCTCGACAAATGTTTGTTGAATGAAATTTTACTGGTGATCAATGATGATTATTGAATTTGTTGTTTTGCTTTTTGGTTTTCAATCACAAAAGAATTTGTTATATCAATTTTTTTTACTGGTCAAAGAAGAAATTCTGTTTATTTTATCAAGAAAACATTCTGTACATTTGATGATAATAACTAAAAACAAACCAAAAAACAGAGAAAAGAAAACTTTTCTTCACTTTTCAATGTTCAAAAAACACGAAAGAAATTTTCGAATGAATGTGTTTTGATGGATGATTTGAAGCCTGTCTGCTGTATGGCATTCAAAATCATTGAAAATTTGTTGTTTTGCTGTTGTTGTTCACTCTCATCATCATCATCATTATCTTGCATCAATCATCAAGATCATCAATGGCAAAAAAAAACGCGTTTTCTTTTTCATTGAATAAATGAAAAATTATTGTTGTTGTTGTTGTCAATGTTGTCATTGTCGATTGTCGACAATCAAGTTCATGATTTGATTCCTGATAACCAATTAATCAACAACAACAACAACAGCAACAATGACAACAAAAAAAACGAAAATGAAACGATGTTCAAAATCGAATGATGTTCGTTCGATACATGATCTATTTAAATTGATTTGATTCGATTTTTATGTCTTTTTTTTGGGTTTTTTTTCTCGTTGTTCGAATCACTGTTGTTGTTGTTGTTGTGGTTTCACTGGTGGATTGAGTTGAACCATCTGGAGTTAACTGTTTGTTGTTGACAATGATAACATGTCGTTCGTTATCGCTATACAAAATATAACATTTTCCATTGAATATCAATAATAATGATGATGTGATATGTAACTAATTCGATTTTTTTGTTTATCGACAATCAATCAATCGATCGATCGATCGAGCAAAACAACAACAACAAAAACAATTTTCCAAATCAAATAAACTTTGATGAACAACAAAAAAGAAAGGGTGATTTCAACAACAACAACAAAATGATCAAATTTACGACCACAACAATGTGACAAGTCAATATTTTGTTTGTTTTGTTTTTTCACCTTAAAAAAGCAAATATTATCTTTATATCATGGCTGGAAATGATCATTTATCAAATGAAAATCATCATGATAAAATCATGAAAAATTTCGAGGTAACAAAACAAAACAAACAATATTGATTGCCTGAAAATAATGTTTCTTAGATTTCTGTGTGTGTGTGTGTACAATGAACATTGAACATTGAAAGATTTCAATGTAGACGACAATAATATTACCATCAATATCTTTATATATCCAGGTAATTTGATGATCATAAGACATCAAAATAACTAAGTAAGTAAGTAAGTAAGTAAATATTGTAATTATCATCAAACTCACACACATACACGCACAACGCATATGTCACACTATTTTGAAAATGATGATGATAATATTTTTGTTTTGTTTGATGACAACCTCAGCAACAACAACAACAACAAGGACAAGATTTTTTTCGTTTTGTTGCAAATTTTCAAGAAAAAAAAAATTCAATACGTGACAATTGATACTTAATGTATACCTAATGACTTTTTTTTATATTTTGCAAGTTTGAATGTGGCTCTACAAAAGAAGAATTTTTTTTTCTTTTGCTTAGAAACCAGAAAAATTTAAGTTTTTTTAAAGTTTTTACTGTTACTTTCTATAAATAATTTTTTTGTTTTTGGATCGATATTTTGTATGAAAATCAAACGATTAAAATATATTTACCTTGAACTGTTGGATCAAATGATTGATGTTGTTCATCATTATCGTCATTAATATTCGATGTAAAATGAATGATTATTGGATCGATATCCATTATTTTCGGTGGTTATTTCGGTTGTTTATTTTGGTTGTTAAAAAACCAAAAATCGAACGTAAGAAATTTCNAATACGATCAAATTTACGACCACAACAATGTGACAAGTCAATATTTTGTTTGTTTTGTTTTTTCACCTTAAAAAAGCAAATATTATCTTTATATCATGGCTGGAAATGATCATTTATCAAATGAAAATCATCATGATAAAATCATGAAAAATTTCGAGGTAACAAAACAAAACAAACAAAATATATTGATTGCCTGAAAATAATAATAATGTTTCTTAGATTTGCATTGAACATATGAAAGACAGATTTCAATGTAGACGACAATATTATCATCCAACCAGGTAATATGATGATCACAAGACATTAAAATAACTGATGAACTAAGTAAGTAAGTAACTAAGTAAGTAAGTATTGTAATTATCATCAAACACTCACACACACACACACACACATATGTCACACTGATGATAATGTTTGATGACAGCAACAACAACAAGGACAAGATTTTTTTCTTCTTCGTTTTCGTTTTGTTGCAAAAATTTTCAAAAAAAACGCAAAATTCAATACGTGACAATTGATACTTAATGTACTTTTTTTTAATGCAAAGAATTTCTGTTTCTTTCTTTGCTTAGAAACCAGAAAAATTTAAAGTTTTTTTTTTAAAAAAAAAGAAAAGGTTTTAACTGTTACTTTCAATCAATATTTTCGTTTGTCTTATGGACGATCGATATTTGTACAAAAAGAAAATCAAACGATTATAAATATATATTTACCTTGAACTGTTGGATCAAATGATTGATGTTGTTCATCATCATTGTCATTATCATTAATATTCGATGTAAAATGAATGATTATTGGATCGATATCCATTATTTTCGTTGGTTATTTCGTTTGTGTGTTTATATTTTGGTTGTTGTTGAAGTAAACCAAAAAAATCGAACGTAAGAAATTTCTGGAATCAAATGAACCATTCGAGAATGAAGGTACCTAGCTCATCCCAACGGTTAATTGCATGCCTACCTATCTGTCCACCACCACCACCACGGTCACCACTAGCCAAAAAAAAGAACTGTTACACCTGTTCACCTTGTGTGTGTGTTTGTGTTACACAGGTCAAATTGTTGAAGGTCAAGAAGTTGGTCAAAAATTTGACCATCAAAAAAAAAATCATATGGAATAAATGTGGATTTTGTTTGTTGTTTGTTTTCGAAACGAAAGAATTTTTTTCGCGCGCTTAAAAAAATTTCAAATTAACAAAAAAAAAAATGAATGCCATCTTTTGATTGGAAAAAATAGAAAGTGAAAATTGTATCAAACGTTTGCACATGTCGCACATGAGCGTTATATAATTCTCTCCGTCTGCGTGTTTTGTTTTGAGTAATAAACGTGTGTTGATTTTTTGTTTGTTTGTTTTCGAATCTGGGAAAAAATTTGGGAATAATTTTGAAGTTTTGAATTTTAAACAATTTAAATGAGAAAATGATGAAACAACAATATTCATTGATAAATCGTTTAAATGATCGTCAAATTGGATTGATAAGAAATCCATCATCGTCGTCGACAACATCAACGACAAAAACAATCATTAATTATAATGATAATCATAAACAATCATCAAAAATTCTTTCCAATATGATTATTGATGAAAATATTGAATATACAAATAAATTTTATTATAAAGATTTACTTGGTCATTATGGTTGTGTAAATACTGTTGAATTTTCGAATGATGGAAATTTAATGATATCAGGTGGTGATGATAAACGTGTTTTAATATGGCGTTTATGGGATGCAATTGTTGGTATGTTTTTTTTTTTGAAATAAAAACATAATTTCATTCAAATTTCTAATTCAAATTCACTTTATTTTTCTATAGATAAAAATTATAAACCAAGAATAATGTGTAAAGAACATTCATCAAATATATTTTGCCTAAGTTTTGATAATGAACAAAAACGTATTTATTCTGGTGGTAATGATGATCTTGTTATTGTACATAATATTGAAACAGGTGATGCAATTGATGTATTTGCACATATGAATGATGTTTATTGTATATCAGTAAATCCAATAAATAATAATATATTTGCAAGTGCATCAAATGAAATTCGTATTTGGGATTTACGTAGTTCATTAAGTTGTCAACATTTACAATCGAATGGTGTATTTCATGGTGTACAATATAATCCAACACAACCATTTATGATTGCAACAGCTAGTTCACAATTTGGTATTGAATTATATGATTTAAGACAACCATTACAAAGATTATCAAGATTTTTTCCATCATATATGGTCAATAGTCCGGCTGCAATGTGTGTACATTTTAATCATAATGGTGATAAAATATTAGCATTAGGTAGAAAATTACCACCAGTTTTATATGATGTACGTTGTCCATATCCACAATTATTATTCGAAGGTGATGGTTTTTATAATTATTGTACATTAAAAGATTGTAGTTTTGCCGGACAAAATGATCAATATGTTATATCGGGTTCGGATAATTTTTATATTTATATGTGGAAAATACCCGATATTGTTCGTAATGATAAATGGAAACAAAATCCATTGAATAATGATTCAACAACATTTGTTGCAAAACCAATACAGATATTAACTGGTCATCGATCAATTGTTAATAAAGTACGATTTAATAAACAAAATGGTATTATTGCATCAACTGGTGTTGAAAAAATGATTCGTCTTTGGAGTCCATTAATTAGATTTGATGAAGATGAAAATTATATTGATTCAAAAGAACCAAAATTTTCAAGACAATTATATCATTATACTGATTATATTGGTGATTTAGATTTACATAATAATAGTGAACATATATTTGAAGAAGATTATCGTTTAATTGCCTATTTTGATATAATGTTAAAACGTGATATATCATTAAGTTCATATAGTTCATCGGATGATGAAAATCGTTCTTATTTTGAATTATGTGATTATTCATCAAGTTCATCCGATAATGAACAACAACAACAAAATAATGGTGATGGTGATAACAATAATTATCCATTTATTGATCTTAAATCGGATACAGATGATAAATTTCATATACAAAATCATTATAATTTTAAAAATAATCAAACACTATTTAATAATAATAATGCAATAATAATTGAAAATAATAGAAAAAATCTAAATAATGATAATGATAATGATTATATGAATATTTCATATTCAAAACGAATGTATATTCGTTATTTAAAAAGTATTGTAAATATTATTATTAAACAATTGGAAACAATACAACCAGAATTGAATGAAATTCTTCAGCAATCATTACAATCATCATCAACAACAACAACGACGAATGTTCGTAAATCTGAAACAACATTAAAACACGAACAGCGACAGGAAAATGTATCGATACTATTTTTAATGAGAAAATTAGATAATGAATTTCGTTCATATAATGATCTTTATAAATGTATACAGATTAAGAAAAAATATAAACTACTTTTACAATCATTTCGTTTTGTATCGGAATTATATGGTGCTTTACGTACAGGGACATTATTTCGACGATCATATAATAATCATGGTGAATTGAATTTAAAAACAATTATAAATTTATTAATGAAATCTGATCAGGTGGATATTTTGGCACGGAAAATGTCAATTATTGAAGGTTTGTCTTTTGTTATATTGTCGTTTTGTTTTGTTTCATTTATTAAATTTGATGTTTTTTCAGAACGAAAATTATGCGATCGAAAACTACATGGTCTCATTATTAGTTTTTACAAGAAAATTTTACAACTAGCCAAACTTTTACTTGGTAATTTTAATTTTTTATTTTGAAATTTTGTTTAAATTAATTTTTGTTTGTTTTTTTTCAAAAAAATGAATTTTTCAGATGTAAAATGTTTTATAAATTTACGAAATAATCCAATTGAATTTTGTCATCTATCATGTTCAAATAATGATAATCATCATCAACATTCAATATTTTGTTTAAATAAACGTACATCAACTAGATGTTTAACACGGAATTATGCTGAAGTTGAAATTGATACATCTGATTCTTCATCGGATGATGATGATATTATTGATTGGAATACGGATAATAATAATTCTGATATCAATGATGATGATGGTGATGTTATTGGTGATTTTCCTGAACCACCGAATGAAGATTTACAATCAAGTAGTGATCTTAGTGATGATGATGATGATGATAATGATGACGATGATGATGAAAGAAAAAAGAAAAATATTTGGTCAAATAATTTCCTAACATATTATTCCGATTCATCCGATGATGATTCAAGTGATGATATTGAAAACGACGACGATGATGATGATAATGTTGATATTAAAGAAGAACCCGAAAATAAATCAAAAAGTGATAACATTGAACCAAATGATAATGATAATGGTGATAATTCTGTCAATAATAATCATTGTTCATCGTCGACAACAACAACAACAACAACAACATCATCTTCAACACCATCATCAAAGACAAAATCTGTTCATTTTAAAAAGATTGATAATTATCGTCAAAGAAATTATAAAAAACAACAACAACAACAACGATTAAAACAACGACAACGAAAACCATCATCATCATCGTCATCATCATCATCGTTATCATCATCACCGATGAATAAGAAATCTAAAAAAGTTAGGCGAAATTAAACAATTGGTCGATTTTTGATGATAATTTTTTCGAAAATAAAATTTTTTTTTTTTGATAAATATTACGGATAGATGTCGTTACTTTTTGACTCATTTTTTGGTTTATCCCATTTTTCTGGATGTTTTTTGTTTTGTTTTGTTTTTTGCAATTGATTTATTTTCATTTCATTAATCCGCGAATAAAAACATCAAAAAAGAAAAAAAAATGTTTGGCGAATTAGATTGGCAAACAATTGTTGAACAATTTGTTCATATTGGTCTTATATTTGGTGCTATATTTCAATTGATCTGTATTGGTGCGGCAATATTTTTACCATGTAAAAGTGAATTAGAATCGAACAATCAAGAATCATCAAATCATCGATCAACAAAAACATTCCAAACACGTACAAATGAACGATTTTTAGATGAAAGTGATGATCAACAAGATCATTATAATAATGATGATCAAGATTTGAATGTTGGTAAAATTTATGGTAATCGTCATGGACATGTTCATCAACGACAACATCATCATCATATTGATGATAATCGTTCCAGCAGTAGCAGTAGCCGTGGAACATCATCATCATGGAATAATAAAAACAAAGAGAAAAAGAAACGTCGATAAAATTCCGGTCGTCGATCATCGATCATCCATCATCGAAGATACTCATTTCAAAAAAAATTCTTTTTTTTCATTTCCAATTTTGATTTCCAACAAAAAACCATTTGTGATTTCTATTTTCATTTCATTAGTCATTTGTATTCAGTATTTTTTAAAATAATTTTCTTTTCTTTTCGTTAATAAATCAATTTCATTTCATTTTCTCAAGAATACCTCATTAATGAACGATAATCGATTGTAAATTCTATACATTCGAATAGCTCATGCGCTAATTCCATTGTGCGCTTTTTGTTTATGATTATTTGTTTGTTTGTTTGTTTGTTTTTGTTTGTTGTTGCGACTGTATTTTTCCTTTCTTCATTATAATCGTCAATTGTTTTCAATTTTCTCTTTTTGTTTTTCTATATTTTATTAACTTTAACAGCAACAACAAAATTCAAATTTTTCAATTTAACTCTTTTTTTTGCCAATATTTTATCGTCAAACAAACAAACAAAGAAAGAAAAAAGTTTCAATTGTTTTACCTGTCATTTATTTCGAATGGATCAGAATCGAACACACCGCGACAACGGCGTACACCAATAACAACAATAACAACCACCATTGTTTTATTATTAGAATCGTAGAATTTTTTTTTCTTGATTTAATTGGATTCTAGCCAAAACATCGAGCAGATTTTGTTGTTGTTGTTGTTGTTTGTTACCATTCTTTAAATGTCATCACAAATTAAGTGCCTTCCTTGTCCATGTATACTCATCTATCTATCATCAAATGAACAAAAATTCTTGCAGTAATTTGATCTAAAATCCCTAATCTCAAATATCAATGAGCCATCCAATCATTATCATTCTTTAATTACACAACACTTATTTTTTTCCCCATTCGAATTGTCATTTGAATGACAATTTGGTTTTTCTAAAAATTATGATCAAATTATCCATCACAACAGTAACAACGATCATCGACCAAACAATGATCTTTATGGCAAAATTATTAATAATATCATCAATGATTACCTAAAAATTTTTTATATTTTTCTCTCGTTTTTTTTCACTTAAAAAAGAAATTCTTATTAATTAAATTGCATCAACAACAGCAACAACAACAACAATTTTGTACCATAATTGAATGATTAAATAATTTTTTTTTTTTTTGAATACAATCAGCATACGAAAACAAGAAAATTTCAAAAAAAAAACAAAAATAAAAAATAAATATGAATTATCCATTAATATTTTCATCAATAGTTGATATTGGTTCGAATGTACAATTGGCTAAAGGTACCGGTGTATCATGTGTTACATTTGATAATGAACAAGAAATTTTATGGACTGGTAATTATTCTGGCCATATAACTAGTTTTGTACCGAATCCAAATAATAGTCTTAATAAATATACATCATTCCATGTTGATTATGAAAGTGATGTCAGGTAATTTTTTTGTTTTTTAGTTTTTTTTTTTGTTTTTGTTTTAATAACTTTTAATCTCTTTATCTCTTTTTTTTGCAGACAAATTGTCACCTGTAAAGAGGGAATATTTTCATTAACAAAAAATGCTATACGTTTATCAAAACGTCGTGGTATTACAAAATTTACACATAAAAATGAATATCTAATGAAAGATTTACAATGTATGTTATTATTAAAAAATCAATTATTGATGGCCGGTAATCAGGAAAAATTAATCGAATTGGATATTGAAACGGTAAAACCAACACGTACAATTGATATAATGGAAAATAATTTTGGTGGTGTTGCTGATGATGATATAAGAGGCATACAAAATTGTTATCATATGAAAGGTCATCCACGTTTTATTTGTATGGCCGATTGTGATGGAAAGGTTGGTTGTTTTATTGATTTTTTTTTATTCAAAATGTTTAAAAATTCCTAATAAATTAGATTGTATTGCGTGATTCGGATCAATTACGAATACAACATCAATTTAAATCGGCTGCACCAATATCAGCTATTGATGCATGTGGAAATTATCTTGTTACTATTTCACCATATTCACAGCTTATGATGATTTATGATTTACGACAAACAAAATTAGCATCAGTTACACAGGTATATCAACCATCGCATATCAAATTTTTATCACGTTTTACAACGAAATGTTGTATTGTATCAAGAAATGGTCGTTTTTCAATCGTTGATCTTGCCAATCCATCAACAATCAAGTATGTTTTGTTTTTTTTTAATCAATCAAAAATTAGTTTTTTAATAATAAATTTTTAATTTTTGTTGTTGTTGTTGTCAAAGTCCAATTAATGACGTTCAAATGCCATCATATGATTCTCAGGTGACAGCATTCGATATTTCGGCTACAGATCAAGCATTTGCATTTGGTGACAATCAAAATTGTGTTTATATACATGGTACATGTGAAAAATTTGATATTAATACTAATCGTAGACAACCAGAATTTGCTGATCCAATAATGCCAACACCATATTATTCATTAATGACTGATCATTATACACCAATATCGGAAATATCACCATTTCCTTATTTTGTTTTACCTACAATGGTTGATTATAATCAATTAGTATCATATATGCCAACACAACAATGTTTACGTGTTTATCGTCCAGTACCACCAATTGGACCAGATATATTACGAACAATGCGTGTTGTTGGTAATATTGGTTATGTTGTTAATTCACCTGGAAAAATACCAACAGCAGTTGGTAATAGTAGTTATTCAATAAATAATGGAAATGGTTCAATAAGAAGTAGTCCTGAAGGAAATGAATTCGGTACTGATCAGATGCCACATCGTTATCATTTTCTTGAACCTAATCATAATAAAGTTGATAAAGATGAATATGATTTTTCACGCTATAATAGTTCACCATTTCCTGGATTAGATTCAACAATACCTAATTCATATGCAAATAATATGATTCAATGTCTTTATTTTATACCGGCATTTCGTTCATCGGTCATTAATCATATTTGTAATCGTGAATATTGTCTAGTTTGTGAACTTGGATTTTTATTTCATATGTTAGATATTGCACCTAAACATAATCCGTGCCAAGCAAGTAATTTTTTTCGTGCTTTTCGTACAATACCCGAAGTTTGTGCCTTTAAATTAATTTTACCAGGTAAATAATAATAATGATGATGATGATGATTCGGTTCATTTATGATGAACACATTTTAACCAAAACAAATTGATTTATTATTTGTATATAGAGGAAGAATCATTACGAAAGCAATTTAATTTTTTTAAACTCACACAACAATGGTTACGATTCCTATTACATCAATTACATCGTGAATCATTACAATCAACAAACAACAATAATAATAATCATAATAATATGAGTTTGGGTAATAATTCATCAAATGGTAACCACCACCATCATTATCATAATAAAGGTTTATATCCGTATCCCCAACAACAACAACAACAACAACAACAGCATATGGTCGAATCACAAGTAGAAAATTTAAAAAATTCATTTGTCACAGAAAATTTTTCGCTCCAATTAACTCGACATTTTCTATGTACCAAATGTCAACATCAATGGAAAAGTCCATATATTTCATTTCCTGTAACGCTTAATTATCCAATGAATATACATCATCATAGTGGTAATGGTAGTGGTGGTGGTCATTCAACGATATCGAATATTAATGTTAATTATGTTGGTCAACGTGAATCTAATCATGATATTGAATTTAATGGTAATAATCATCATGTACAACAACAATCATTTGTTAGTTTTTCCGAATTATTACTTAGTTCAATTCATACGGAACAAACTATACAGGAATTTTGTGAAAATTGTCAAAAACTACATAATAATATTATTGAACGACGATTAATGTCAAAATTGCCACCAATTTTTGCCATTAACACTGGTTTAGATAATAAAAATGTAAGTTTTTTCTAAAAAATTTTTTCCAGAAATTTTTATTCGACTAAAATTTTTTTTTCAGGCACATAAATTCTGGCAAACACAAACAGAACGTTTTACAAAGATTATGGCAAATAAAAAGGAAAAATATGTTGTAACAAATCTATCAGATTTGGATAGAATGAAACAGATGAAAAATAATTCATCGAATAATAATAGCCAAGGAATGGTTTCAAGTGTCAGTTCAACGAATAATCAAATGCCTTGTCGATATGGAAAATTTTGTAAACGTTTTGATTGTAAATTTTATCATTCACATCGTGGTGATGATGATGATAATAATAATGAATATGGAAATGATTTTTATTCATGGATACCGATGTCAATTTTTATATCGAAAAATTCAGGAACAGATTCAGAATCATCTACTATACAGATAAAAGATGATTATAGTGATTGGAATAATGATAATAAAAATAATTATATTGAATATTCATTGGTTAGTGTTACATCGGTAGTAAAATCATCGGAAGAAACATTTGGAAATATTGTCAGTGCTATTAAAATTGATAAATCATATTTTGATGCACGACGTAAACAATTGGCTAAAAAAATTCGACGATATCAAAATCGTTATGTCGGTGGTCAACAACAACAAACATTTCAAAAAACTAAAAATAATAATGAAGATAATGATGATGATAGTGATTTATCCGAAAATGAAGAACTTGATTCAATTATTATTGATGATAATGAAATGTTTACTATTGATAGCCGAAATACAGGAATGGAAATTGAAAGTTTACCACGTTATGATTCAAAAATGGATTGGTATCTATTCAATCATTATCTAATTAATCCAATTAGTAATGAAGAAGTTGTTTCTACTGATCTTACATGGAAAGTACCAACCATATTAATGTATATGAAAAATGATGTTATGAAAAATTATATGCATAATAAATTATTACGTCATGCAAAAAATATGATCAGCACAAATGTTTTCAATCAAGGTTTATCAATATCGCAAAAAATTCCATTAAAATCGATCTCATTTTTGCCATTAGATTTGGATATGGAACAACCGAAAAAAGGTGATATTGTTGCTATGGATGCTGAATTTGTTATGCTTAATCATGAAGAAACAGAATTACGATCCGATGGTACTAGAGCCACTATACGACCATCACATAAATCGGTTGCAAGAATTTCCTGTGTAAGAGGATCTGGTCAAATGCAAGGTGTTCCATTCATTGATGATTATATATCTACACAGGATCAGGTTGCTGATTATATGACAAAATTTTCAGGTTAGTTTTTGTTTGAAATTAGATTTTTTTCAAAATTTTCAATTTTTCCCCTTTCAAACAAAAGGAATACAACCTGGTGATCTCGATGCAGCTTTGTCATCCAAACATTTGACAACATTAAAATCAACTTATTTGAAACTTCGATTTTTAATTGATAATGGTGTTATTTTTGTTGGACATGGTTTACGTAATGATTTTCGTGTTATTAATTTGGTTGTACCACCTGAACAGGTTATCGATACTGTTTATCTATTTCAATCACCTAATTCAAAACGAATGGTCTCATTAAGATTTTTAGCATGGCATTTTCTTAATCTAAATATACAAAGTGAAACACATGATTCGATTGAAGATGCTAAAACAGCATTAGCATTATATCATAAATATAAAGAATTAGAAATGAATAGCTGTTCAAAAGAAGCGATCGAAAATCTTTATCAAATTGGTAAAGAATGTGGATGGAAGATTCCAAATTTTTAAATCGATTATTGCAAAAACAAAAAACAAATCAATCAATTTTTGTTACGAAAAAAAAAATTTTTTCATCTTTAAATCCACATCCATCATTACATCATCCTTTAAGAATGTGTTTTATTCTTTTCTTTTCTTTTTCTTTATTCGCCTAAAACTTTCCCATTTTTTCATCTCTTGTTCTCTGTTTTGTATCCAATACAATATATTATTTATTGTTGAATTGAAATGATAAAATCAAAAAATCAAAAACATAAAAAAAACAATTGCACAGTAACATCAGTCAGATTATTAAATTAATTAATTATATTTTTATTTTTCAATAAAAATTTTGATTACAATTTTTCTTTTATTGAATATATACTAAATTCATTCAAAGGTGATGGAAAATTTGTTTTCAAACGATCCATACCAATTTCATATTGTTGTTGTTGTTGATCTTTCCATTCAATATATTTTTGAATGACAAAATTATTAAATTTAGATAATTTTTCTTCAACTTTTTCCAAATCAATCCATTCACATTGATCAATTTCATTTGGACATTTAATAATTTCATTTAAATCTTTACCATTATTATTATCATTAATTGTACGTAAATGACAAACAAAATATAAATCCGAACAATCAAATCCCCATTGAACATTATGTAAATGTCTTATTGTTAGTATACATTGGAATTTTGTTTGTATCCCGGTTTCTTCATATACTTCACGTACGACGGCATCAGATAATTCTTCACCTTGTTCAACATAACCACCAGGAAATTTCCAATAATCAGTAATTTTTGTTCGTTCTTTTACAATCAATATTTGATTTTTATCATTTATAACTAAACCACCTGAAATTAGAAAAAAAAATCAATGATGCTTTTGTGAAATGATCATTTTTTGGCCAAACTAACCTACACCAACATTCGTGTATGCATATTTAGGAATATTATTACGATCGTTTAATGATTTAACCATAATAACATTATTATTTTTGGTATGATGAAAATCGAAACCTAACTAAGTATATAATAATATGGTAAGAGAGATGGTAAATTCATTTTTGTTTTGTTTTGTTTTTCATTGATCACAACCTTGACTAATGGTTCAATTAAACAAACATTATCACGAGTTATTCGAAACCAAATGGTACGTATATCTTTTTGTTGATTATTGTTGTTGATTGATCTGTTGATTATTTCGGATAAACGATTCGAATCAAATGATGATGTTTTACCAACGGTTTCAAAATGAATACCACCATATCGATCAAATTTTGAATGAAAAAATTTATTCGAAATATTTCTTGAAATTAAACCAAAAATTCTATTATTTTGATGATGATGATGATAATTCATCATTAACAAACGGTTAAAAAGTGTGAATGTCATTTTGGTTCGAATTTAGGATTTTTTTTCAATGTTTGAAAGATAAAATCAAACTAAGCAAAAGCAAATTATCAATATCGAAATAACACTAACAGGTTTCATCAAAAAAAAACAACGAAAAAACCGGTTATGTTCAAATTTGAAGAAGAAGAAGAAGAAGAGAAAAATGGATGTAATTCAATTAGATTTTGATCGAAAAGAAATTTGTTTAGAGAAAATTTCGTTAAAGAATGATGATATCTAAACGATGATGGACGTGTAATTGGCAATTGAACGACATTTATGTGAAGAATTTTCATCCCCGATTTTAAAGTGTTTTGTTCATTTCAATTTTTGTTTTGTCAATATTGAATTATGCAATTATTATTAGCTCATAGTAAAAGTCCCGGTAAATTAATTTTATCCGGTGAACATTCTACTGTTTATGGAAAGGTAAGATTTGTTTGTTTGGTTTGTTTTTTATTCATTTTCCTTTGAAACAGAATTCCGTGGCCACCACTGTCAATCTGTATACTGAATGCCAAATTTTTGCCATAAACAATGAACAAATCATTCAATTAAATCTTATTAATCTTGATTATCAGAAAATATGGCCATTTGAATTGTTGAAAAATTCATCTCGATTGATTAATAGTATCGATGATTTTCGTTTCGATGGTGAAGAATCATTAATGAAAATCGATCAATTCAGAAATGAATTACAATCTGAACCGGCAAATATAATGAATTCATGTTTGGTTTTTTTGTTTCTCTATCTCAGTATTGGTGATTTATCCGAACGTAAAAGTATTAAAATTGAAATCAAAAGCAATCTACCAAATGGTGCTGGTCTTGGTTCATCATCAGCTTACATTGTATCATTGGCTGAAGCATTATTTACAGCATTCAAAGTAACGATCGATAAAAAAGAATTTAATCGTTGGTGTTGGGAAATGGATAAATTGTTTCATGGAAAACCATCCGGTGTTGATAATTCAATCTGTACATATGGTGGAGCAATATTATTTCGAAATGGACAACTTATCGAACAAATTGATCATGAAAATCTACCAGAATTAAAGGTAATATTGGTTAATACACAAGTGCCTCGTAATACAAAAAATTTAGTTGAAAAATGTCGACAACGATTAACAATTTTTAATGATATTGGTAATCAATTACTTGAATTATTGAATTCAGTTTCACAACAAGTTTGGTTTACATTGAAACAAGATCAATCGAATCTTAATCAATTATCAACATTATTCGAAATGAATCAACATTTATTGAATTGTCTTAATGTTGGTCATGAAAAAATTGATGAAATTGTTGCCATTGCTAAACGACATGATTTAAGTGCAAAATTAACTGGTGCCGGTGGTGGTGGTGTTGTTATGATTTATCTTAACAGTATGTTTTTGAAAAAAAAATCTATTTGTTTTTCTTTAAAAGTCAAATTTTCTTTCCATTTTACAGATGATACAAAGCAAGAATCGTTACTAAAACAATTACATTCCAATGGTTTTGTTACATATCAAGTTAAACTTGGTGTTTCCGGAGTACATACAGTTAATTGATTCTCTACAAATTTTTATCTGATTTTTTATTTTTCTTTTTTGAATTTTTTAAAACAAAACAAAACAAAAAAAAAATTGAATAAAAATTTCAACCGCAAAAAAAATTAAAGAGCTTACCATTCATATAAACTATGTCTTTGTATTGATCACATGATTTTTTGGATTCCAAAAAAAAAAATTTACAGTTACTCAGGGTATTGCAATACGCATCGATTATAAGAAATGAATTTTTTCAATTCCAAATTTTCAAATCTAAATTAAAAATTATCTTCTTTATGGTCTTTTATTAATTATTTTCATTACAAAATAAACAAATCAATCAACTGAATGATAGTTGAAATCTAAAGAGTGAATCTAAATTAACAAACAAAACAATGGATGACGATTTCACTACCACGACGACAACAACAAATGGATCATCGATAGATGAATCAGATGATTCTACGAATGTAATGAAAAGTAAGCTGATTGTTTTTTTTGTTTTGTTTGGCTATTTGTATTTCATTTTATCTGCTTATACTAAAGCTACATTATCATAATTTTTTGTTTGAAAACAATCGATCTATTTTTTGTTTTGTTTTGTATTTATCATTATTCAATAGATAATGATAATAATAATGGTTTATATCGTAAAATGACCGTACAAATTGTTGCCGATAAATCAGCATTACATTGTAAAAATGGTTGTGGTTTTTATGGTAATCGTGAATGGGATGGTTATTGTTCCATATGTTATAAAGAGATACGTCATCATCAACAACAACAACAACAACAAACTTGTATGGCTCAAATAGATGATTATTCTGTTTCATCATTACCACCAATACCATCTTTAACATTATCATCATCATCATCATCATCTCCGCCAACATCATCGCAACCAGCATCATCATCATCATTTTCAATGTCATTAAAACAGAAAATTTTACCCGAATCATTAAATCGTGCACATTCCGCTACATCACTTTCATCATCATCATCATCAACAACAACATCATTTTTAACAAATACAACTGGATCATTATCATTTAGGTTTGTTAATTTTATTTTTAAAAAAAAGATATTCTTTTTTTGATTAATTTATGCAAAAAAAAAATTATAGAAAATTTGAAGAGAAAAAACGTCAACAATCGGATAAAAATCGAATAAAATCAATTTTTAAACGTGCATCAACATTTCGTGAATATCGTTCATCATCGGCAGCTAGTCAACAATATTCAAATAAAAGTAGCAACAACAACAATAGTAATAATAATAATAATGTACAGGAAAATAATTCTTGGCCATTTTTTTCATTGGAACGACCATTCGAAGAAGTTTTAGCAAAATTTTATCCCGATTATGCATTACGTGATATAAATGTAAATGTTACAAAATGTGTTGAAAAAGTAAATAAACTTTTAAATCGTGGTTCATCAATCGAAGATTTAACTGAAATAATACATGATTTTTATTCAACAATGGAAAATCGTTTTCAAACTAGTCCACATTATAAAGATGTAAATAGTGTACAATTTTCACAGCTTATTGATCAAACGGAAAAAATTTTAATGAATAAATTGTATACAAATTTATTTGCACGTGTACAAAATGAAGAAGAAGAAAGAGATCTTGAATTACAGAAAAAGATTCGCAATCTAAATTGGATTATGTCGAATCATTTAGATATTGAAATTAATCTTCGACATCCTAAGGTTGGTATTATGATTTATTAACATTTCCACTTTAACAATTTCAATTTTAATGAAAATTTTTAATAAAGGTTAAAGATCTAATGGATCAAGCTATAACCGAAATAAGTGAAGTTGATTCGAAACAGATTCCATTCGAAAAATTGGATGCTATTGTTCGATGTTCGAAAACAATATTCGAAATGTTACAAATTGATAATAATGCTGCCATTTCAGCTGATCAATTTCTACCTGCATTAGTGTTTGTCATTATAAATGCTAATCCACCATTATTACAATCGAATATAAAATTTATAACACGTTTTAGTACACCATCACGTTTGATGACCGGTGAAGCTGGTTATTATTTTACAAATCTTTGCTGTGCTACAACATTTATTGAAAAAATTTCTGGTGAATCTCTTAATATGAGTGAAAGTGATTTTCAGGTTAGTAACTTTGTTTTATTTATTCGATACTTGATTTTTTCATTGATTTTCATTCAGAGCTATATGAATGGCGAAGCACAACCACCGGGATATTATAAACAATCATTTTTATGTGAACCATTTCGTATAATGAATTCTAATCATACAATATTAAGTGATACAATCAAACGTAATGCTCAATGGTTAGAAAATTTAGATTATCTGGAAAAACGTATGGAACGTTTTGAACAAATTCTTGAAAATAAATGTCGTACGGCAATTAATTCATCAAAAGAAATGATTGCCGAACATTCAACATATAAAATTTTTGATCAAGCTGATGATGTTGATCCATCATTATTTCCGGCAAGTTTTCGTGAATCATATCGAAAATATTGCGAACAAAAAAAAGAACAAGAAAATATTTTGATTGAAATTGAAACATCCGATTTAACAATGAATGGTTCGAATGATATGGATCATAATAATGTCTGTGATCAATTAGCATCAATTGATTTTAATTACAATAATTCGAATTCGAATGATTCAAATGAACAAACGTCTGTGATGATGATCAACAACAGTAACAATGAACTATTAGAAAAATTTTCCAATTCATCATGTCCAGAATCGATTATTTCATTATCATCATCATCAACAACAACAAATCAGATCAACAATTCATCTGAAACAAAAGAATAACTTGAAAAAAATGTAATTTTTTATTATTTAAAAAAGAAAATTTGACTAGAAAAAAAAAGTTTTGTTAATTTATGTATTTGAGTAGTAAAAATTTTGTTTAAGTTTGTTTGTTTGCTTGTGAAAAAATTGAATTACAATTCGGTGATTTGTTTTAGAAAAAAAATTAATTAATTAATTAATTAAAATTAACTAAATTATTGGTATGATCAATTTTAAATTATAAATTTTAAATGATTGCGATCATGAATGAAATGGTGTGTTTCCAAAAAAAAAGGGCAAACAAATCGTTTCGGTTGAGATCAAAATCATTATCAACATTTTTTCAAAATGGAATATTCATTATTCATATTTGATTTGATATGTTGTTCATTCTCAATTGTTTGCCATTGTTGAATTTTGTGTTTGTTGTTTCGATTGACAATGATGATAATGATGATGATGATGATGATTATGAATAATATTTGTCGATGTTTTATTATCGATTTTTTGAATTGTTTGATCATTTGTATCATTATCATCATCATCATCGACAAAATTATCGCTTGAACTTAATGATATTGAATCACAATAACGACGACTAGATTCATTAAATTGATGTACAGCTTTATGAAATTTTTTTCGTAATAAATATTTACTATCATCATGATCATGATTATCATATTCATTCGCATCTTCATCATCATCATCGTCACCATCATCATCATCATCTGAACAATTACAAGAATCATCATCATCACCATAAGTGTGTAAGAATGATGAATCAGATGAAGAATCACTATCTGAAGAACAATGTTTACAAATGAATGTATCTTTTCGATGATTATGATGATGATGTTTTTGTGGATTTTTACTATCAAGATGTTCGAATGTATCCAAAATAACTTTATTCATTTCTTCAATTGATTCTTCAATAATTCTTGGTTCACGATTACTATCACGATTGATAATGAATAAATCATTTTTCTCTAATTCTTCATTAACACTATTTTCATCAATACTGCTCAAGCTTGGCAATGTATTTGAATTACTTTGTCGACATTTGATTCGATTAAAAGTTGTCGATGTTGCTTTATCATTGTTATTATTATTATTATTATTATCATCAAGATCACCAAATTCTCCATCACCAAATGGTGATTTAATTGATGATGGTGTCATCGGGCTTTTATCCGTAAATCTAACTTTATTCGAATGTGTGGACGGTGTGGATAAACAACTTTGATATCCATCACCATAACCAGAATCAAATGTAGATGTAGTAGACATTTTTGTTGTTAATTTTGTATGATTATTTGGACTATTTGGATTCGATGTACTACATTCCAATAAAACTGTTGTCGTTTGTTTATCATTGTTTAATACATTTTTTTCAATATTTGGTGATGAATTACTATTATCTGAATTATAATTGAATATTGTTTCATTTGTTTGTATTGCTTTATCCGAACGTTTTATTATTTTATTACAATTATTATTATGAATTTTGATAAAATTTTTATCCAAAACTGATGGTCTTGATGGGGTTGGTGTATTACGTAATTCGATTGTTTTATCATTATTATTATTATGAACAATTAAATCGGGTGATTTTGGTTTAGGTGATAATGAACGATGATGAAAACGATTACGACGACTTCTAATTGATGAATGATAATAATGACATTGATTACATAATGATGATGATTTTTTTGATGATCGATTATGATTTTTTGTTTGTTTTGGGCTATGAATAGCAGGTATTCGTTTCTTACGACGATTAATGTTGGTCGATGATTGTGGAACAATGAATTTTAAATGTTGATTTCCAGATTCATTAACATCATCATCATCATCGATTGTAATCGTAGTAGAAACAGTCGGTTCAATACAATTCATTTGTTTTTCATTATAATCAAGAAGTGAATAGGGAATTATTTTGTTACAATCATAAAGTTCTTGTCGAAAAACTTCTGGAACTTTTTCAACAAATGGTGATAAAATCGATGGTGAACGACTCACATCAGTCAATGATGGATGACCACAATTTTTGGCCAATCTTGATATTAATGCATGTTCACGTTGTAAAAGATTTTTTTCACGTTGTTCTAATTTTAATAAACATGTCATCAATTCCATATAAAGATTATTTGCACATTCACGTTTTCTAACATATTCTTCACGTATATGTTGTGCATGCATTAATTCTTCTTTACGTTTACAAATTAAATGTTCAATTTCTTCTTTATAATTTTCATTATTAATTTGATGTTCATTCGAAATGGCTACACTGGATCGTCTACGTTTCATACGTTTCATACAATCACGTATTTCATCACGCCATTGTTGTTGAATAATAAAAAATTGATTTGCTTCAATATTAATCAATTCTGAACTAGCAATATCTAAATGCATTAAAACTTGTCGAAATGATGGTCGATTTCTTGGTTTTATATTCCAACATTGTTGTAATAATAGATCAAAACCTCTTGGTACACCAGATGGAATCGGTAATGTAAGACTTGAATTACCAACACCCCATATGATTGCTGATGAATCAACATCACGATATGGTATTTCACAATTCAAAAGCTCCCAAAGTACAACACCAAAACTCCAAATATCAACTTTTTCCGAACAAAGTTCATCACGTATAATCTATTGAATATAATGATAAGATTGACAAATTTTTTTTTTTAGTTAAATAACAATTGAATATACAACACAACATAACATACCTCTGGAGCCATCCAAGCAACAGTACCTGTAAATGACATTTTAGTCGATCGATCATTCAATTGTTTACATGTACCAAAATCAGATATTTTCAATGTATCATTATATGATATAAGTACATTTGGTGATTTAAGATCACGATGTATAATTTTATGTGAATGTAAATAATTCATACCGGATGCAATCTGTTTTGCCCATTCAATAATCATTTGTGGTGATAATTGTTGACCACTTTTTAAAAATTCATACAATTGTCCATATGGACAAAATTCCATTACAATACAATAACAATTTGGACTTTGTGTACAAACACCACGAAATGCAACAATATTTGAATGATTTAATTTTCTTAGATGTTTGATTTCGGTTTCACGTTTTTCTTTTACTTTTTTAACAGCAACCCATTCATTATTATATTTACCCATAAAAACAGCACCCTGTGCACCACTACCAAGCCATTGTAAATCTTTTATATGTTCGAATGGTATTTCCCAATCATCATCATGATGATGAAACGTATTCATTGATGAATCTTTTGATCCAAGCATATCTAGAAATGGTTTCAGACAACCAATAATACCATTAAACCATCTACCAGTATTATAACCAAAAAATGTTGTAAATAAATTATGTGAATTATAATAATCATGATTAAATGGTGGTATATCACGATATGCTTGACGACTAAATATAAATGATTGACCATTATTTATATTAGAATTATATGGTAATGATGATGATGATGATAAAAATTCATTAATTTCAGATTTTGGTTGTTGTTGTAATGATACAAAAACATCTTGATTATCTGTATCCAATATGATTTGTGTATCATATATTGGAATATTGGATTCATCATTATGTTGTTGTTGTTGTTGTTGTTGTTGTTCGATTGGATTTTGTGCAAAAATACGTGTTAATTTACGATGTGATGAAATTTGTTGTTTATTCAATGAATCATTCGATGATTTATCATCATCTTCTATTGTTGAATGTTTGGAATGTTCAAGCATTCTATCAAATGATGATGATGATGTTGATGATGATGATAAAATTGCTGTTGGATTTTTATCTTCAATCAATGTTTGTGAATCTTGTTCATCATCTATTGATGATTGATGATGATTTTTACTTGAAGATGGTTGAATGGTGATCATTAATTGGCCACCATCACCACCACCACCATCATCATCATCATCCTTAGTGGTTAACGATGTTTGTGGTTGATTAATTGTTATCAATTGATTATTGGTAGATGTTGTTGATTTAGTGATAGTACCATTACCATCCGAATTGAATGTATCCCTAGCAAAACAGACCATTGATTATTTATTGGATTTTTTAAAAAAAGTAACAAAAAAAACATAAGAATATCGTTGAAAAAGATGATGATCAACAACAACAAAATAAGATTCAGTAACAATAAGAAAACAGAAATGGTAATCGACGGTGGTTTAATATTTGTTATTAATGCGCCTTTTTTCATTCTCTTTCTCTATCTCCCTAATCTTGGTCGAATTTTGTCATTCATTTTTTCTATTTCTTCTTTTCTTTTTTTATTTTTGTCATTTTTTTTCTATCCAATTACCCTTGCATTTCATAAGAATTGCAAAAAAAATTATAGTGTCGTTTGCCAAGAAAAAAGAAAAAAAGAAAAGCACACACGTTTCTATATTGTGTTGCATCTTTTCATTTGAATATAATGCAATTCTGTATTCTGTCATTCGGTTACGCTGAAAGCTTTCAAAGAATCAAGGATTTTTTTCTTACACCAAAATGAATGAATGAACTGTATCAACAATGAAGAGGGAATCTGAATCCACAGAATATTAGTAGTAAGTTTGTTACGAAAGTTTGAACCCGAAATTTTTTTCTTTTAAAAAAAATTATCTCATCTTAATTACACTTACCTTGTTTTTTCATTATCGACATTATGATTTGATGATAAAGATGGTAATTTTTCTTTTTCCTGTTGTTGTTGTTGTTGTTGTTGTTGTTGATCATTGTTTTCATTATCCATAAACAATTGTAATGATAATGATGATGATGATGAATCATCTTTTAATGATAAATTCTGTTTTATAACAACTGAATTTAATTCCATTTCATAATATAAAAATTCTAATTGATTACAATTTGAATTTATAATTGTTTTTTCGATTATCATTTGACATCATCATCATTATTATAGTTGATTATAAATATCGACAAAGATCATTTGAACAATAATTTTGGGTAAACAAATCTTCATGATTGTTCCAAAAATATAGAAAAAATATAGATAATATGAATGGCAGAATTTTCTTCTTATTTCACTTGATTTAAATTTAAGTCTTATGATCAGATTGTTGTTGTTGTTGTTGTTTTCGGTAAATATTATATATAAATATTTTAAGGTTAAAACTCGGTCAGCGTTTTTTTAAATATCCGAATATTGACTCATTTGATAAAAAATAAGGTAAATAGTTTCATTTGAGTAAATTCAATTGCTTCTGCTGCTGCTGCTGCTTCGGTTCAAAATGGAATAGTCCTATTCTGCTTTGCTTTTTTTTCCTCCTATATTGGACCTTTGGGTTTTTTTCTTTCTCTCTGTTGTTGTCATCAATATTGGGAAATACGAATGAATCCCGAAAAAAAATAAAATACTTGGATTCTATGGGGTAGTGGTATCCTTTTTTTTCTGGTATTTTTATTTTTATTTGGAACCGTCGTACATATGTATTGTGTTTGTGTGTGCATTGCCCGATCCATTTGAAACGATCCATCGGTAATCGACAACATTCGATTCGTAAGCAATTCGTGTGCGTCATTCACATTGTTGGATCCAAACAAAAAAAAATCAGCAATGATTATTGATGATTATCGATGGCTATCGATAATTAATGATCATCAAATATTGTGTAATTTGGATCTGATCTGATCTGATATGATAAGATCCTATCATATATGGGTAGAAATAGGCGATTATTCTGTTATTTTAGCTTCTTTTTTTTATTATCAAATCAAAATCAATGAATGAATTCGACTATTTAAACACTGGCGCCACCATAAATGAAATTTGCAATATAATAATAATTTTCAAAGAAAAAAAAACATAAAAAAATGTAAAAGGAAAATCGAAATCAATTTTTTTTTGCTTTTTGCTTTTTGTTTGTTTGGAGCCACGCCGTCAATGTGTGTATGTTTGTATATGTTTTAACCATAATAATAATATACACCGCCAACGGTTGTCAGGCGCAAACACAGGAAACTTCGACAACAACAAAATAATCATGATCATTTTTTGTTGTTGATGATACACACATTGCAATTGTCGCCTTGTATGTCGTTTTTTTAAGTGTATAAGTTTAGCTAAATCCATGTGTATTTCTTCAAATTATACCACGCCGTCATTATCATCAACATCAAAATCATCATCAAACAAAATTCATTAGCGCGAATAAGATATATACACATACAAAGCAAAAGGGAGAGCTGAATATATACAAATTAATAACAAAAAAAGCTTTGGCTACAATAGAAAAAATTACGTACGAAATACGTTCATGTTCATTATAGCTATAGCAACCATTATATACAATGAAACAGGATTCAATATATTCGATTCGATATATTGTTTATGTTATCATCATTATGACTATAAAATTTTATGAATGAGCATATATTGTGTGTATATATATGTGATGTTTGTGGAGGCAGCATATCGCAAACCATGCACACCTTGTGTTTTTTGTTTTGTTTTGCTGTTGTTGTTGTTGAATATCGTTCGTTTTTTTTATTTTTTCTGCCCATCATCATCATCATCATCATCATAATCATCGTTATCCCCCAAGAATACATCCATACAATCAGCCAAAACCAACAAACAAACAAATAACCAGCATTTATTATTCTGATTATTGTATGATGTGTGTTTGCTGATTGTTTGTTGTTTGTTGGTGGTGGTGTGTTTTCGTTCAATCGTTTCGTGTTTTATAACCAAAAAAGAAAAATTGATTCGATTTTTTTCTTTTTTGCAATTTGATAATGATATTATATCCCAACAACAACTACAACAATAATAAATCTACTTACATGTTTAATTTCTGCCCCCGTATTCATATTGTAGCGTTTTGATATTGATGATTATTCGGAATTTGTTTTTCTTTTCGTTTTCTCTCGTTTACTTTATCATATGGAATTTATTTTTTTCTGTGTTTTGCTTTTGTAAATTGTGTGTTTGTGTGTGTGTGTTTTTACGTGAATTAAATTGAACAAAAAAAAACTTGCATGAATTTTTTTCAAATTCTGACAATTTTCTTAAACTTCTTTTTAAATTTTACTTCAAACATCATTTCATCATCATCATCATTATCATCGGACTATGAATCGATAGAAAAACGGTAAATATTATTCTTTAGTTTGATTTTCTAACGAAAAAATTGAAAAAATTAATTTTCATTTTCATTTCCAAAATAGATTTGTTTTGAAGGGGGGAGGTTTGTTTCGATTAGTTTCGAAAGTTGTTCATCACCATCGATTATATGTGAATATCGAGAATTTTTTTTTTTGAATTCGAACAAACGATTTTTAACACACCCACACACAAGTGTGCCTTTTAAAAGAATTAAAGAATTTGTAAAAAACAAAAATGAAGCTATTTTTAAACAACTAGAAATGATTGATTCGATGGATGATAATAATCAAAATCAATCATTAACATTTATTAATTTATTTCTGTTAAAATCATTGAAAACATTCATATGATAACAAGATAACAACCTGTTTGACAACGACGACAATATCAATATTTTCTCATCTTTCTTCATCCATTTTCAATCTCCATTCAGTTCCCTCATATTTTTTATTTTTAAAATTTTAAAACAAAATTATTATTATTATTTTTTGATCATTTTTATTTTTGTAAAAACACTGGTTTTTCTTCAATATTTTTCTTGTTTTTCGTATGTACATTTGTGAACAAAGTGTGTTTTGTTTTTGTTTATCTTTATCAATATCAATATCAAAACAACAACAACAACAAAGGTAAATGTTTTTGATCTTCTGTTCTGTTCCTTTAATATTCCTTTAATAACATGACCCTCAACATACAGGTGTCATTCATTATCATTGGATTGTGTGTGTGTGTGTGGTTACATTTACCAATTGTCAATGATGATGATGATGAAAAATAAAGTTTCTATGTAATGTTTTTCTTTTTTTAACATGAAGGATGTCATTTTTTGGTTGATGTTTAAAACAAATAAAAAAAAAATTTCATCATTTAGTCAATGTATCAATTATTTAACGGTAATAGGTTTTTTGTTTTTCGTTTTTTGTATTCTATAAGCTTATCATTTTGACACAAAATGCATGACTGACTGACTATATTTCATTCATTCATTTTTTTGTTGTGAAGATATTTTCTTCACACACAAAAAAAAACAATTTTGAAAGGGACTTAATTTGTCATTTGGAATTATTATTTTTGTTCTGTCTGATGTCTTTTGGACAATTTTTTTTTTGTTTCTTTTCATCATCATCGTTGTCGGCTTTATGAACATTAAAAAAAACAAAACTAGCTTATATATTAGTTATAAAGTCTTGATCTTCGCATTAGATTTGTTTTTTTTTTATTTTGTTTTGGCTTAAAAAAGTCATTTTTTTCCATAGCCCGAATATTTTGAATGGATTTTTTTGGTTGTGAAACAAACAAACACACACACACATTGATAATTTATTAGTCTGCACTGAAATGTTAGTTTTTGTTGTATGGTGAAATAAAATGAAATGAATTATTTTCGTTTTTTTCGTTCACAAAATAAATTTTTTAAAGATCAAAATATATACTTGAAAAATGATTATTTTTGGGGTGATTTTTTTCAACTTTTTTTTTATTTGCGGATGACAAAAATTAATTTTTGTTTCGTTTTTTCGTTTCATTTAAATTGAATAGATGGATACTGGTGATGGTAACAGTGGTGGTGGTGGTGGTAGTGTTACGGGTGGTAATAGCCTAAAAGCAGATATACAAAAATTAAGTGTTGAAGAATTTGAATTTGTTTTAAATCAATTAACTGATCATAATATTCCTGAACGTGAAAAATGTCCACTTGTTCAACGTTTAAATGCTGAAGATTCAGCACGTGTAAATAATAATAATACAACATCATATTCATTGATGACCGGTACGATAACAACAACAACAACAACGACAATAACATCAAATAATAATAATAATAATAATAATAATGATAATAATCGAGATGATAGTGGTAATAGTGGACGATTATCATCAAAACTTCGTAATAATCGATTGAATATATTGAGTAAAGATAATGAATTTCGTTCAACAATGAATTCATCATTATTAAATAATAATAATGATATTGTACATAGTGATGATGGTAGTGGTGATCAAAATGATAATAATGATGATTCAAATTTGATTAATAAATCAACAATATCGATGTCATCAATGTCAAATAGTAATAGTAATAGTAGCAGTAGTAAAACATTAAATCGTGCCAATTCATTATCATCATCAACAACAACGATGCCTTTTTCATCAACAACATTAGCTACAAAAAGTGATAATAGTGATCGAAGTAATCAACATCCTCATCATACTATCATTATAATGGATGAACAAATAACAAAACCATCATCAACATCATCATTACAATCGAAAAAAACTATTGATGATGCCTGTTCATCATCATCATCATCATCCATAAATAATCAGCTTGTCGATAATAATCATGATATGAATTCAACATTGAATCATCGTCGTCATTTAAGTCAAGTGATTGAAGATGAAAATATTGAATTATTAAAATTCAATGTTAATAATAATCAGAATAATAATAATAAAGATCAGAGTGATTTTTCAGATGCTAGTCAACAACAATTAAATAGTGATCATCATTATAATGAACGTAATAATAATAATTATAATGATAATGATATAAATATAATGAAACAATCATCATCATCATCAAATAATATTCAATCATCATCATCATCATCATCAACATCATCATCTTGTTCAACAACATTTTCATCTGTACATTTGGATAATATTAATTCACTTGTAAATAGTATCAATAATAGTCAATATGATATAACACCATTATATAAACCAATTTTATTGAATGATAAAAATAATTTATTACATGGTGGTGATAATAATAATATTCAAACAACAACAAAACAACATCAATCAGATGATGATTCATCTTTCGAACATAATAATAATAATAAATCGGAAAGAATGTTTGTTGAAATGAAAAATCTACGACAAAAAGCTAATATTATTGAATATAGTACGGCGGCTGATATGATGAAACAGCGAAATCTTAATAATAATAATAATAATCAGGATTTAAATAGTGTTGATAGAGTTATTGAAATGCCAATGCTTTCTACCGGTAATAATAATCATATTCATCATCATAATCATCATCATTTAAATCATCATCGACCGGCATCAACATCAACGATTGATAATAATGGTAAGTTTTCTTCTTCTTTTTTGGTGATAGACTGAAATGATTAATTTGAATCGAATTTATTTTATTTTTTATTTTGTTATTTAGGATCAAATATCAATCATAACAATAATAATCATCATCATCATTCAACAACATCCATATCACCACCATCAAGTTATAGTTATTTGAATAATAATAGCAATAATTCTTCAAATTACAATACGACCACTACTACTACCACAATAACAAAAGCTAATAGGTAATTTAATTATCGAATTATAAAACAATAACAAATTATTTTATCCAATAAATTTTTATCCTTTAATTTTTTTTTTGTTGTGTAGACGTGAAAAGAAAAAGAAACAAAAAGAGGAAGTAAAATTTTCACAAGATATTGAAGGACATATTGGTTTTATGGATATACCATATCTTGAATCGATTATAAACAATACATCTTCCTCATTGCCATCATCATTATCATTATCATCATCATCTACAACAACAATGACAGCAACAACATCAACATTAAGTATGAATAATAATAATAACAATGTAAATATATTTGATTCGAAAAGAAACAATACTGGAACTATTGTTAGTGTTAAAGAGAAAAATCAACAACAACAACAACAACAACAGAATAATAATGAAACAATGTTGACAACAACATCCATGCAACAACAACAACAACAAACAATAATAAATGATGATGATAATAATAATGTCAAAATAGGATTAATGAATAAAACACGACCATTAAATTCATTTGTTGTTAGTTGTGATGATATATCATCATTGAACAAATGTAATTCAAATAATACTAGTCCAGAATTGTCTTCGGCTGCTGCTGTGGCTGCTAATGTTGGCACAAATAATAATAATAAATCGAAAAAGAATAAATCGAAACGTAAACAACAACAACAACAAGATAAAAATAATAGCAATAATAATGACAATAGCAATAATGATGGCTGTTCAGGAAAGAATATGATGACCAATTCAACATCGGATTCAAAACTTGAAAAATTAAAAACTGATATTCGTCGTAATAATAATCAAAAGAATAATGATAGCCAAAGTGTTAGTGGTGACGGTAATTCATCATCAACACGAAGAAAATCTAATCAACAACGTAGACAAAATTCCACAACTTCGACCGTACCTCCAAATGCATCTAGTTCAGATGATTTTGAAGATGTAACCGATGATGATAATGATGAAGATGATGACGACGACGATGATGATGATGAAGAGATTCGATTGACAAGATTATTATCACGATCGAAAAAATCGAATAGCTTATTACCTGGCTCATCGATTTCAAAAGAACCATCAATTGATTTGGTTGATTTGGATAATGAATTCTATACAGTATCTGATTCTGAAATGGTTGATCGTGAAAAAGATTTTGTAACACCAAAAAATAGATATCTAAAACGTAAAAAACATTTAAATGCTGTTCGAAATAATCAAACTAACAACAACAGTGGTAATGTTGCTGGTGGTCATACTAGATATGTTGGTAGTGGTGGTGGATTTATCAAGAATAATGCTCAAACATTTTCCACTAATAATAATAATCGTATGAATACATTAAATCGACATTCATCTGCATCCACATCAACATCATCATCATCAACAACAACGACAACCATGATGGGTAACAACAACAACAATCATCTTCATCGTGGTTATGAAAGTGAACGTGAATCTTCATCATCATCAACAACATGGAATCAACATAATCGAAATCGTCTTCATAATCGTCAATCGATGAATATTAATAATGGAACAATGAATATTAATTCGAAAGTTGGAAATCAAACCGATGTGGTGAGTCAAAGTCTTTCATCATCAATGTTTGCCATTGATAAATCTGAATCAAATGTTGATAAAAAATTATCGGATTCAATTCGATCAAATGATTTGAATATTCATCATCCATCTTCAAGTAAATTTATTCATCATGAATTTCCTCCAACACATTCAATGAGTACAAATATAAATGCCGTAACACTTCATTCGGCAAATTCAGATAATCATCTAAATTTATTGGGTGATTCGAACAAGAATATATCATCATCTAATAATACATCAGATGGTGGTATGAAAATTCCTTCATATGCTGAAATAGCGAAATCATTCAATGTTGCTCCATCGAATGTTAAAGCTCAATTAGCTCAACGATTATCATCATCATCATCAACAACAACAGCAGGAAAACAAATGGTTGAAAATCAAAAAATATCTACAACCGTTTTATCCGCTACTGCTATCGAATTTCCTCAATTAACTGCCACACAACAACAACAAGAAGAAACAAGTAATGAAAAAAATGATAATGATAATGCCTCTACCGGTAATGAATATAGTACAAGTACGAAAAGCCGACAAGACAAAGACAAAAATGACGGCGACAAAAATGTATCAATGAACGATGATGATGATGATGATGTTGTTGTTGATGTTGATATTGACAAAAATTCAGCTATGGCGCCGACAACCATCACCAATGGTAACGGTGGTGGCGACATTCAATGTTCCATAATGACTAATGATAAAAATTATAATGATGATGATGATGTTGATGGTGAACGATTATTACCACTACAACCAAATAATATGAAGACTATGACGTCGGATACAAATAATAAAGAGACTACTTCAGCAATAACAACGGCGTCTAAAATGATGAAAATGAAGACGAAAAAATTAGAAGCAGCAGTTGATTCAACAAAGACACGTGTTAGTGTTGGTAGTGGCGCTGTTGATACTAATAATGATGAAGCTGATAATGATGATTGTGATGATCAAAATGAATATCATGACGTTGTTCATGATTTACCAAAAACAACAATTCATATGAAAACAACTACAGCGATTGATGACTCGGCGACGAATGACAGACAAAGTTCCAATAATAATAATAATAATAACAATAACAACAAAAACACAGAAAATAACAAAATCATGCCTATCGAGATTCGTCAAAATATGAAACAAAATAATAATAATAATAATAATAATAATCGAATACTGAATCCACAATCAACAATGATGACTAGTAATAATACTAATAATCAAAATATGCCAGAATCACCACCGGTTATTATTTATGGTGATGTTTCATTTGAATTTAATCATTATCATATCAATGATCATGATCATGATCATCAATGTCATAATAAAGATGGTGGTAGTGTTGTTGTTGGTGATGGTGAAACGCCCCATAACAATAATTACAACAAGTGTTCATCCATTTATAATCATAATAATCATCATCGATGTAATGGTGTTAATGATAAGATTGTATTTGGATTTTTTGATGATATACAAAATGAATTTGATGAAATTCAACAGAATCATTCATATAATGAACAAATTTATCAATACGATACTGCCAATAATAATGTAAGTAATAATAATGCATTCATTTTAAAGCATGAATTGGTATGAATTTTTTTTTTCTTATTTGTAAATACACAGACTATTATGGATGAAAAATCCAAAATATCAAACATAAGTGATAAACAGCAATCGCAAAAACAGATGAATCAATCATCAGAAAATATATGTGTAGCTGATAATGATAATAATAATGTTATTGATATTGATGATGATGATAATAATAATCAACAGCAAACAAATGAACAACATCCGGTATCGAATAATGAAAATAATAATTTTGAAAGTTTTAAAAAGAATGCCGTACATGTAAATGATCTTGAAAATCATTGGCATCAGGAAGTGGTTGTTGCTTCAAAGAAAAATTTTACTATCAATGATAATATGAATCAAAATTCAAATCGATCAATAAAAAATCTTCCAAAGAATGTAACCACAAACATCATTATGGATGATAAAATATTTTCATCATCATCATACAAATCTAATGATAAACAGTCCAAACAACAAAAGATGTGTTTCATAAATTGTCTAAGCAAATATAATGTTTGTCTACAAGATACTGCCGAGCTTAATGTTAATAATTTTACGAATCTTGTTAATTTTATTTATACTCGTAAGTAGTTGATAGTTTTTTCATTTATTCAAAAAAATTTAATTTCCTAATGATAATTTTTTCTTACAGATTGGGTTAATAAAAAAGTCTACACCGAAACTGTCTGAAGGATAATTGTGAAAAATAGTTTTTTTTTCTTCTGTCAATACTTTTTCCTTGTGATGATGAAATGATGGATTAATTGATTCACCAAGATCATCAATTTTGAATTCAACATTTTCAAATATATTGGTTTTGGAGAAACATTTTCTATTCTGATATTGCTTTGTTGTTTCTTCCCACCACACAGCATCATCATTATTATTTGAAAATGAAATGAAAAAACAAACAAACATCTTTTTATAATCAATGATGATCATCATCATATATTTCTCCACCGTTTTTGTTTTTGTTTTTCTGTCCTTTTGTTAATTATCATTTCTTTGATGAGATTATTCAGTCCACCTTACTCTGAAATCTTTTTTTCTGATTGTTTGTTTGATTTGGTGGTGAAGAATATATTAATGCAAAAAAATAATCAATAACTCATTATAATTCAGTTCATCTCATTCATTTTTACTTTTGTTATCTTGATTGTCTCTTTATTATTATTATTTTTCATTCATTTCATTTTCTTAATTGTTCTGATGATGTTTATTTGTTTATCTCCAAAAAAATTGATAATTATCGATTGTTATTGGTTAATTATCATTATTGAATGTTAACAACAATCCCTACATATACATACCCACAAACACACTATATACATTTTATTTCAAAAAAAAAATATATATTGATCATCATCATCATCAGTAATCATTGTATTGACATCATCATCATCCATCATTATTACCTAATTGTGATTTACCACTTGATTCGATTTGTCTGCTGTTTCTTTCTAATTTTTCATTTTCTTTTTATGTTTCAATTTTTTTCTATTCAAGATTTCAACCACGTATCAGAAACACACATACAAACACACACACACAAACAAAACAAAACAGAAAAAATGGGTTTTTGAATTTATCAAATTTATCAAGTTTGTCTAAATATTTTATCTATATCTTTATATTTTTTTTTCTCAAATGAATCTCATTCTTTAATCCCAATTTTGTTTTTTTTTCTTTCTCTCTCTCTTTATAAATATTAACCCTTTACACTCACACACATATTGTTTCATTCATTAATTCTCAACCAACCAGAATTGTAATTTTTATTTGATTTGAAAAAACAGCTTCAACCCGATGAATACACAAACACAAACACTTGCCCATCACAAATTTTCTTCCAAAAAAACGAATGAACGAATGAACACAATCCCTGATTAAATCGTGATAAAGATGATCGTCGTCAACAAAAAAGAATTATCATTAAATACCGATGCTTGATGCATAATAATGTTTGTTGTTCTTCGAGAAAAAAACAAAAATGAATCTGATGAATCGAGTAAAAAAACCTGATCCAAAATGCTTGGTTATGGCATCAACCATCATCATCATTATCAATAACACAAATAGAAATAAACCAAATAAAAAACATAACAAAAAAAATTTTTGAAAAAATGTTACGAATTTATGTTTGTCAAACAACAACAACAACAACATTTTTGTTTGGAAAGAAAAAAAAATTATCGGATAATAAAACCGAAAAGTAAATAAAAATAAAAAAAAAAAGATTTCTTTATTTTAATTTGTTTTGTATTTGTAATTTTTTTGTAATTTTTTTGGTTTTAAAAAGAAAAACTTTGAAATAAAAAAAAAGATTTTGATTTCGGAAAATCATCCATAAGATTCGAATATTTATTCTGTTTTTTCCACTCCTTTAATAACAGGAATCACATACGATAGATGGCGCATGAAAATGGTTTTTTTAAAAAAATTTAAATTTCTTATGGCGGATTATTATGATGATGGTCATCATTCCTTTTGATTGATGGGAATAATTTCGTTGAACGAAAAAACAAAAAGAAAGAAAGAAAGAAAGACCGATTATGATCGATTTCTGTTTTATGGATTCAAATAACAATGACAGTACCAAAGAAAAAAAATCAAATAACCATAAATTATATCGTCAAAAGAAAGAAAAACCCGAAAAAAATCCCCGAAAAACGATAATAATTTGTGTTTAATTACATAATAATCTATAATGATAACATTATTCTTGGACAAAGATATTATCACATTAAATCTTGTTTCATTATTATTATTTTACTGTCATAAAAAAACTACTTTGTAATGGGAAAAAAATAATCAAACCACCACAGAAAGAATCATCATCAAAATATCAATTTGCACGTAATAATAATGGTTGAATTGAAAGTACCATATTTTCTTTCTTTATGAGAGAAAAAAAAATGTTGTATCAAAATGAAATCAACCCATCATTACCATCATTATCATTATAATGGCCATTAAAAGAGCGATTGGAGAGAGAGAGAGCGAATTGATGATAATAGATTAATTGTGATTAGAATATCGATGAATGTGTGTGTGTGTGTGTGTGTTTCCGACAGCCAGCCAGCCAGCCAACAACAACAAATTCAAATGACTAATGATTGGAACGCGGAAACACACTTGTCATAAAAAGTCAGTGAAAAAAAATGAAAATTCAAATATGGAATATATTCGATTCGATAATTATATCTTTATAATGCTTTTTTTTTCTCTCTCTCATTAATAATTTCGATGGAAAAAAACCGAGGAAAAGAAGAAAAAAAAATCGATAATCGATTGAAATTTTTAGTCCGCAATAATGATGATAATTATGTGTAACTGAAATGAAATGTATCCGAATGGTATAGAGAAAATTTTCAATATGTATGGTGTGTTCATTCATATTCCTTTTTTTTTGAATTCTTTCCTATTCAACACACACACACACACACGAACAAATCACACCATCATTGAATTCAGTGTGTGTGTGTTCATGTCATATGTATTTATTATTAATCGATGTCAACTACCAAACAAACGACTACGACAACAACATTAACATGATTTTCCGAACAAATAATGATTTCCTTCTACTACTATCCCCCCACCAACCAACCAACCAACCAACCAACAAAAGAAAAAAAAACCTAAAGAAAGAAAAGAAAATCAAACCCAAAAAATTCAGCTGGATATCAATTAATAATAATAATAATATTCCTCCTTCTTCTACATTTGACATTCAATGCTAATGATGATGATGATGATGATAATTAGCTTTTTTTTCTCTTGTTTTGTTTTTTGCTCGTTTGTTTTTGGTTTCTGTTGTTGATTTCCATATACAACCAAACCAAACTAAACGAAACTAAATTAATTTGTCCGAATTATTAGAAGAACATTATTCATATTGAATCATCATTAGCATTGTTACAGGAATTATTCAACGGATTCAACTTTCAACTTTAACCTTGTTTGTTTGGTTTTGGTTGTTATACCAAATTTATCATTTCTTCAATGAATAATCTTTGGTTGCTGTTTGGTTCATTTATCATCAAATATAATATCTGGTTAGATAAGATTTTACACTTCTGATCTTCTTTAGATTTAATTCTTTTTTTTTTTGTATACACAGTTATCATCATCAGCGACAAACAACATTCATTTGTCTATCGTTTTGTCGTTTGTACATAACCATAGACAACATGCTAAAAAACAACAAAAAAAAACGGAAAAATGATGAACGATTGTTTTGCATTGCCAAACACCATCATCATGATCATCATCATGATCATCGAAAACGCTAACAATCCAATAGTGGTGGCCAATGAATCCTATGCTATAACCGAGAGAAAACAACAAGAAGATGAAGAAAAAATGAACAACACAATGATAATGATAATGATTATTATTAATGTTTTTGGCACAACAGTATCATTATTCATTTTTTTTTTCATTCATTTCATTCCATTCATTTCATTTCATTCTGAATGTTTTTTTTACTCTCACTACTATGCTATATTTAGGGATGTTGTATATGATGATGATCATGTCGAAACATATAGATATTCTAAAGCTTAGTAGAGAAATGAAAAAAAAATAATAAAAAATGAATTGAATTCAATGAAAATGAATGAATGAATCCAACCATACACACACAGAGAGAAAGTGAATGAAAGATGTATAAATGATAGATAGACGTTTCAAAAAAAAAAAAAATGTTTTCTATTTTCTACAATCATACAATATGATGACAAATGACTTGAAATGCTTGTGTTGTTGTTAATATGTTGGATATCTTTTTCTTTTATTTTGCTGGGGTTCCAAACTACTATAGGGAGTTGCTGGTTGTTTAGTGTCCTTACTGGATATTATAAATGTACCACCAGTCATTTTGTGGGGTAGTTAGTGGATTGTTGTTGTTGTTGTTGATGATCAATGATGATCCTATCCAGAGCCCTTAGTGATGATGATAATGGTAGTGAATATTAAGATAGAAACGAAAAAAGATTAATGATGATGAATCTGATGATAATGATGATGATAATCATCATTATCATAATGATCATCATCAGGAATGAAGAATGACCATTGAAAGAAAAAAAACATTGAATTATTGTGGATAGAGAAAAAAAATCGATAAAATGCAAATTTAATGTTTTTTTTTTCTGTTTTCTGGATCGATATTCCTTGTTTCAAGATTCTTATTGATGTTATCTGGTTTTTTTTCATTTCTAAATGTGGTACTCTCATCGTTATGATACTCTTTAGCTCAGAAGAGAGAAACGAAGAAAAATTGTCATAATTTTATCATCAAATTTTCTTTCTTTTTCACAAATCGGAAAAATGAATGAGAGAAAAAAAATCAATTTTTTTCCCGATAGGATGATGATGATCGAAAAATGATAAATGTTTCAAGTGAAAGTTTCCCTACAATGAGTCAATGATAATCGATATACTTGGATTTACAAACTTATAAATCAAACCAAAAGCCAAACCATACGGTTCATGTTTTTTAAAAAAAAGGAAATATGAAAAATTTGAATCCATAATATTATCGCTCGCTGAAAGATTATCATTAAGATTTATGTGCGGTCAAAAATGCCGGCAAAGTTTCATATTTATCATTTTCAGTTGATACAAATGTAATGTTGGTGGTGGTGGTGGTGATTCTATTTCCACATTACTATATCATTATCGTCCATTTTTACAAACACATTTGGTTTGGTTTTTCTACTAATGATTAGTCAAGAAAAAACACACACACATACTAATCATTAGTGTTATTCTTTTATTGGGAAAAAGTTTTTTTTACTCTTTTTTTCTGGTAACTGTCAAGCTGTTTGGATCATTAATAACAAACAAATGATGATGATGATGATGATGAACGAAAAAACCAAATTACTGACCAGAACAGATTGTTGTTGTTGTCGGCGGTTAGTTCGGAAACAACAACAACAACTACAACTACTGAAAATCAAAAAATGTTGACCATTTTGAATGTTTACATTGATATTTTGTTGTGTTTAACTGCTAAACTATTATCCACTATAAACAACCGATTGACTGGATTATGGATTGGATGAAGGTCATTGATGGTGGTGGTGGTGGCGAGTTATCAGTGAACAATTCCATAATGATCATCAAATAATATTTTTTTTCAGCCGCTGCTGCATTTTGTTCAAAACTTTGGTCGGAATTC